CAAAAAAAAAAAAAAAAAAAAGGAGCCAGAAGTCCTCAGGATGGAAACATGAAGGAAGACCCCAAAGCAGATCAAGCACGGTGGCTCACACCTGTAATCCCAGCACCTTGGAGGCTGAGGCAGGAGGACTGCTTGAGCCCAAGAGTTCAAGACCAGCCTGGGTAACATAATGAGATCTCGTTTCTACAAAAAAAAAAATTTTCTTTTTTTGGAGTTGGAGTCTTACTCTGTCGCCCAGACTGGAGTGCAGTGGCCGCTCCTGGCCACCGCAGCCTCCACCTGCTGGGTCCCAGCGATCCTTCCGCTCAGCCTTCTAAGTAGCTGCAACTACAGGCGCTCACTACCACGCCCGGCTAATTTTTTTATTTATTGTAGAGATGAGGTCTCGCCAAATTGCCCAGGCAGATCTCAAACCTACGGGCTCAGGCAATCCACTCACCTCAGCCTCCCAAAGCACGGGATTACAGGCTAAGCCACCGAGTCCGGCTTACAAAAAAATTTTTTTTAATTAGCCAGGGGTGGTGGTGTGTGCCTGTAGTCCCAGTAACTTGGGAGGCTGAGGCAAGAAGATCACCTGAGCCCAGGAGTTGAAGGCTGTGGTGAGCCATAACCTTGCTACTGTACTCCAGCCTGGGTGACAGAGTGAGACCCCGATTAAAAAAAAAAAGACGGGCCAGACTCGGTGGTTCAGCCTATAATCCCGCACCTTTGGGAGGCTGAGGTGAATGGATTGCCTGAGCCCGCGGGTTCGAGACCCGCCTGTGCAGGCGAGACCTCATTTCTACAATAAAATCAAAAAATTAGCCGGGCGTGGTAGCGCGCGCCTGTAATTCCGGCTACTCGGAAGGCTGAGGCGGAAGGATCGCCGGAGCCCAGCAGGCCGAGGCTGCGGTGGCCGGGAGCGGCCGCTGCACTCCAGTCTGGGCGACCGAGTGAGACTCCAACTCAAAAAAAATAAAAAATAAAAAATAAATAAAGAAAAATACATTATTATAGAAATATGGAGAGCTGGATTTGCAGCTCAAAATATTTGAATTTGCACTTGATTTTGCAGACTGAGGTTTGTACCCCTAAAATACCCAACTCACCAACTAAGTAAGATGAATAGTGCCTAAATGCCCAGCACAGAGCCAGACACATAGGAGGGGTGCAAGTAGTGGCAGTCACTGCCATTATTATTTATTGATATTATGACTATTGAAGCGCTCAGCTCTACATCTTTCTCTGGACCACTTTTTTTTTACTTCTAGTCCCCTTACATTGCTCCAAGGTCAGCCAGGCTGTGGTCAATGGGCACTTACGGGTAGAGCCATACCCATGAATAAATTATCAAAAGGGAAGGTGTTGGTCAGGCACAGTGGCCCACGCCTGTAATTCCAGCACTTTGAGAGGCCAAGGAGGGAGGATTGCTTGAGCCCAGGAGTTTGAGACCAGCCTGGGCAACATAACAAGACCTCGTCTCTGCAAAAAACACAAAAATTAGCCAGGTGGGGTGGTACCCACCTGTAGTCCCAGCTACTGGGGAGGCTGAGGCAGAAGGGTCACCTGAGCCCAGGAGGTCTAGGGACTAAAATAGCTGTGTTCATGCCACTGCACTCCAACCTGGGCAACCGTATGACCCTAGTTTCAAAAAAAAAACAGGAGGAGGAGATATTCGCGTCAGCTAATGTGTAGATGAACAGGGTGTGGCCTGACCATGTGGTAGAATATTACTCAGTCATGAAAAGGAATGAGACACTGATACACGCTATAATGCAGAAAATCTTGAAAATGCTGTAATGCTGGGTGAAAGAAGCCACACACAGAAGGCTGCATATTATATGACATCATTTCTATGAAATGTTCAAAACAGGCAAATCCATGGAGAGAGTGACAGGAGAGCTGGGGGAAGGGTGGCGGGGAGGGGCTGTCCATGGGTTTTCTATTTGGGTGAGGAAAAGGTTTTAGAAATAGAGGTTATTGGCTGAGGTGAGTGGATTGCCTGAGTCCGGGGTTCGAGACCCACCTGGGCAACTTGGCGAGACCTCATCTCTACAATAAATCAAAAAATTAGCCGGGCGTGGGAGCGTGCACCTGTAGTTCCAGCTACTTGGAAGGCTGAGGCGGAAGAATCGCCGGAGCCCAGCGGGTCGAGGCTGCGGTGGCCGGGAACATCCGCTGCACTCCAGTCTGGGCGACAGAGTGAGACTCCAACTCAAACAAACAAACAAACAAACAAACAAAAAAAGAAAGAAATAGAGGTTGTGGGCCGGCTCGGTGGCTCAGCCTGTCATCCCAGCACTTGGGAGGCCGAGGCGAGTGGATTGCCTGAGCCCGCAGGCTAGAGACCAGCCCAGACAACTTGGTAAGACCTCATCTCTACAATAAATCAAAAACTAGCCGGATGTGATAGCCTGTGCCTGTAGTTCCGGCTACTTAGAAGGCTGAGGCGGAAGAATCGCCGGAGCCCAGCAGGTAGAGGCTGGTGTGGCTGTGAATGTGCCTCTGCACTCTAGTCTGGGTGACAAAGTCAGACTCCAACTCAAAAAAA